TAGTAGTAAGAGTGCGTGGCAATGGTCCAGAAAAATACTGCCGCTGTTTAATTGATTCTGGGAGTCAACGAAGCTATGTATCTAAATTCTTAGCTAATGCTATGCAGTACGAATGTATTAACGAAAGCAGTGTGATTCATAGTCTGTTCGGAGGAACCGAAGTGGTTGAAACTCATAAACAGTTCGTTGTACGTTTAAGTAGTATCAAAAACGATTATCAGTGTAACTTCAAAGCTTTTGATCAAGCGAAAATTTGTTCTGATATTCCACAATTGAACATCAAGCCTTATTTAAATGAGTTAAAAACCCATAACATATTTTTGAATGATGTTGAAGGTAGGCATAAAAAATTGTTGTTCGAGCATTCTCCTTCTGAAATTCATATCCTCATAGGCGCGGACATAGCGGGAAAATTGCTTACACAGGAAAAAAATAAAGAAGTTAGAATGTGGATTAGTTTGCATTGAAACTTATTTAGGCTGGAGTATCATGGGGAAAATTCCCGTAGAAATGGAAAATAAATATGATTGTTCTTATGCATTTTCTATGTTAGTATCAGATAGTAAAATTTCTGATTTATGGAAACTTGATACTCTTGGGATATTAGATCCTTCAGAAAGTCAAACTAAAAGGGAATTAAAAAAACAAACAATGACACATTTTCTTTCCAATGTGACAAGAGATGAATAAGGAAGGTTTCAAGTTTGTTTACCCTGGATTGAAAATCATTCCTACTTCCAAACTATCGGTAAATAGCAGAAAAGAGATTAAAGAGCACAGTGAAGAATTTAAGGGATGGGGGATTTTTAGAAGATTATGACACAATTTTTAAATCTTGGGAAGATGATAAAATAATAGAGATTGTTCCTGAGGAAGAAGTTAATAACCCCTCTCATTATTTACCCCATCGTGCTGTTGTTATTCGAATGAATTCCACCACGACAAAAATAAGACCGGTTTTCGATGGATCCGTAAGAACTAAAGGATCACCTTCCATAAATGACTGTTTGGAAAAGGGTCCAAATTTGATTGATACTGTTCCAGCTATAATAAATAGATTTCGACTGGGAAAAATTGGCGTGAGCGCTGATATTAAGAAGGCTTTTCTGCAGATAGCACTTAGTCCTAAAGACAGAGATTATTTAAGATTTTTATGGTGGGAACAGGGAAATTCTGAGCGTTTGAAAATATACAGGCATAGAAGAGTGGTCTTTGGAATAACCAGCAGTCCATTTCTCTTTAAATGCAACACTAACGAAATTAATGAATGAAGTACCAGAAAATTATCGTGCGAGTGCTAATAAATTAGTAGAATCCTGGTACGTTGATAATTTAGTTACAAGTGTGAATGATGAATCAGAATTAAAGAAGTTAAAAAAATGATGCCACTGAAATTTTGGCAAGTGCTAAATTTGAATTACAAGAGTGGGCATATAACTGTCCTCGAAATGCAAGGGATGCATTTGTTGTTGAACCCATTTTAGAACAGTCGAAGCTTGATAAATTAAATGAGAATGAGTTTTTCGATGATCCTTGTGAAGCTAAAACGGTCACCATTTTGGGACTTCTTTGGGATTTGCATGATGACACATTAAGTTGTGATATTAAGGGATTAAATGAATCGAAACACAAACCTGTTACTAAAAGAACAATTTTGTCTGAAATTCATAAAATTTATGACCCTATTGGATTCACCTGCCCTATAATTTTAATTCCTAAATTCTGTTACAAAACTGCTGGGAATTAAAAGTAACTTGGGATGAAGCTCTTCCTGAAGAAATTCAAAGGAAATACATGAAATGGAAAAATGATGCAAATCGTTTAACAGAAATAAAAATTCATCGACAAATGATGCTTAATATTGATTCTGAATTGAAATTATCCTTTCATATATTTTTGATGCATCCCGAATGGCATATGCAACCTGCGTTTATTTAAGAAATGAAAATGGAAATGAAGTTTCTTCTCATTTAGTTCAAGCTCGATCTAGAGTTGCTCCTCTAAAACCCACATCAATTTGTAGACTAGAATTATTAGCTTGTGTTGTTGGTGCGAGATTAATGAAATCTATAAAACAAGATTTGAAGGAAGAATATATACCTACGTTTTATTGGACAGATTCAAGGAACACATTGTACTGGATTAAGAATAAAGAAAATTGGGGTGTATTTGTTATGAATAGAGTGAAAAAATAAGAGCTCTTACTAATCCTGATACATGGAATTATGTTCCTGGCAACTTGAATCCTGCGGATATTCCGTCAAGAGGATGTTCTGTTGAAACTATTAAAGCCAAAAGAGGGCATGAAGGTCCAGCATGGTTGAAGTTGAATCCAGACTGTTGGCCTACTTGTGATATTTCTCCTGACAAAGATATGATTGATCGAGAAAGAAGAAAAACAGTTGTATCCTCGTTAACAAATGTAGATGAAGAATTTTCGCATTTCTGATGAATTTCTTCGAGAAAATAATTAGAGTTACAGCCTGGATAAAAAGGCATATTGACAACTGCAGAAATAAAAATAGAACAACGTCAAAGAACTTATAAATCGAAGAATTGAATGCAGCTGAAATCCTTGTTTGGAAAATTGTGCAAAGGGTCTCCTTTAAAAGACAGAAAGGATAAACGCTTACGACATTTAAAACCATTTGTTGATTCATCTGGTCTTTTAAGAGTAAAGTCAAGAATATTAATGAGACAAGACTTCGAAAATTTTAGAACACCTGTAATCCTACCTCCTGAACATCCAGTTGTCTCTAAACTGATTATGGAAAAACATATGAACAACAAATGCATTGCGGAACTCAAGACTTTAATGGCAATGCTACGAGAAAATTTCTGGATTTTGAAAAGTCTATTCGTAAAGTGTTGAAAAACTGCACTAAATGTAGAAGATTTGATTCGAGGTCCCTCCACGGTACAATCCGCACCTTTGCCAAAGGGACCGTGTTAAAGATTCTTCTGTTTTTGAAGTGACAGATATCGACTTAGCTGGCCCTTTGTTTTTAAAAAAATGGATCGAAAACGTGGATCGTTTTATTTACATGTGCTGTATACAGGGCAATTCATCTTGAACTTTTAACGTCTTTGTCAACAGATAACTTTTTATTGGCTTTCCGACGTTTTATAGCACGCAGAGGAAGACCTGAAATTGTCTACACTGATAACGGTAGTAATTTTATTTGGTACAAATTCGCTCTTAAAAAATGATTGACTGGGATAAAATTATTAAGAATCATGTTGTCAACCGCATTAAGTGGAAATTTATCCCACCAACTTCTCCCTGGTGGGGTGGATTTTGGGAAAGAATGATTGGCCAGATGAAAAACATTCTGAGAAAAGTTTTAGGTAATGCCTCACTGAAATATGAAGAACTTTCTACGATCCTTTGCAATTGCGAAAATATTTTAAATTGCAGACCATTAACTTATATTTCCGAGGACTTGGAACTGGAACCCTTGACACCTGCAATGTTTTTTCGTGATCTAAAAGAAAGTGGCGTTTCCGATCTAGACATTATTGATGCCAAATACTTACAAAAAAAGGTATGCATATCAAATGAAGGTCAGAGAAGATCTAAGAAAACGGTTCAGAACTGAATACTTAGGACAACTGAAAAACCATACTTTAAAAACAGAGAAATATGTTAAACTATCGGTTGGAGACATTGTGTTAATAGAAACTCCTGAGAAAAGAATTAAGTGGCCTCTAGGAAAAATTATAACACTCATCCCAGGAAATGATGGTGTAGTTCGTTTAGTAAAATTACGCACCAAAAATGGCGAAATCCTTCGACTCATACAACGAATTTATCCGCTGCAAGTCCATTTACAAACGGATAATATAGGAGACTGTTTGAGAAAGAAGCATTCTGATCAAAAAATGTGTGATAAGCCTACAACTTCTATTGGATCTACAGATTTTGGTGCCACTGACAAAGATCAGTCAGATGAACTCAATCAGAATTCCCTCAAAACAACTAGATGTGGACGAGTGATTCGAACTCCTGAACGATTAAACCTCATGAACTTTCAACCAGACTGTGGCTGAGTTTCAACTTGGTGAAACTCATCGGGGGGGGAGTGTGTCGCGAATGACGCAAGCTCCGCTCTTGGGGAACGGATTGAGCCTCCAGACCGACGAGAATTGAAAAAGAAAGTTTGTTTTTTTGAGAACTGGCAACGATGAGTGTATGCTTTTAGAACAGTGACGCATACTGCTTTAGAATGATGACGCTTTTAGAATAACGACGCTTTTAGATATGAATAAGAATGATGCTAAGTAGTTAGAAGTGATTTTTGATGTTGTAATGATTTAGATATTGTTCCTCTTTTGTGTCAAATGTCACATAAAATTATTCATACAAAATAGTGCCAATTTTAGATGAGTTTGAAACCAAATCGGAGTCTACAAAAGCGGCGGAATAGAATCGAAGAACGCGGATCATAAAGGTAAGCAACCTTTCTTCATTTGCTTATCTAGAATTTTGAATGATCTGTTTCTTACTGAATTGAAATGATATAAATAGTAGTGACAACTGTAAAAAAGCTTGCTTACCATCACATGTAACAGCGAAATCATGCAATAGAAATCTTAGTAGACAACCAATAGATTCAGGAAGAAGATTCGGGCCAACTTCCAAGGTATCGTTCAGTGAAATCATTCCTGGAGCATGCGAGGAAGCATCAAACACAATTCTCCACTTGGTTTCAGATTGCGTTTTCTTTCTTACAGCATGATGAGGAAGGTACTGACTTCTCATTGGATTCATCTATGGAACAAACTTCAACATGCTTTTGTTCAATGTAATTCAGCATGCATTTGTCATATTGTGTCTTTAACACATCACTAGATGCAAGTCGTTTTGAAGAGAATGAAATCTGTTTTCCGCTATAATTTTGTTTGTAGGCAAAGGTGTGACCAATGGTTTTCTAGGCAGACACATAATTCTTCGATTGTCTTCAGTGTTGTAAGTTTTGTGAAATTCTGATAAAATTTCTTCATCTCGAGTAGTCATTTTTCGTTTCTGCGCTTCTTGTATCCCTATGGAGTCTAATTCCCAGAAGCGGCGTACCTGATAAATTTAAACAATCAGTTTTAACTTGCACACAAACGTGATGGACAGAAGTCTTCTCAGCGATTGTAGTATGTGTTCTTGTTCCGCTAAGAACCCATCCAAACACTGACGGTACCATAACAAAAGATTCTGAAAGCTTGATTTGAGCTTCTGCGGAAACAATTTGCCAATAATGATCACCACCAATAAGTATTTCTATGGGCAATGAAGAGTCATCCGGTGGATCAGCAATTCTCAATCTTTTCTTCTGAGCAAAGTGAACTATTTCTGGTGGTGCAGTAGGACGTGTAGTATAGGAATTGGAGCTTTTAAATGCGGAGATCAAAAATGCTTGGTTGCTCCACAAACTTGAAAGTGACAGTTGAACACATCTACGTTGTTCTTGTGAAGTGAAAGATTCAAATGCTTGAACTGAAAGTGAGGCAGAACTGACAACTTTAAGCTTAAGCTTTTCAATGAGGTTTGTGTGAACAAAACCTGCTTGGCTACCACCATCTAAAATGCAGCGTAAATGGCCTGTGGGGCCAGTAACATACACACGAGCAGTTTGCAAATGTGTGAAAATTGTTTTAGGAAAGGTTATGTGATTTACAGCACTGTTAGTTATCTGCAGTTGATTGTTTTCAACAGGAGGACAAATAGAAACATGATGCCTTTTCTTGCATTTAGTGCACCGTGCAGTATTTTTCCTTGGGCAGTTTGAAACTCTATGACCACGGTTAGTACACAGAAAGCAGCGATTTGAAGTTTTAAGTTTCTGAACACGAGTATCATAGTTTGTAACAGTTTCACAATATTGAGGCCAATGTCCTGTATTATCACAAAATGAACAAAATGGTTAAATTTTCTTACATTTGTTTACTGTTTTGGAATTGATATTAAAATTTTCTACAGTGCACTTTACGGTGTGATCAGAAAAAGACGTACCTTTAACTCTTTGTACTGCAGCTACACCTTCCACTTCTTCTGCAAGAACTGCATCAATCTAGTAATATTACCTTCGTTTAGTTTTTCGCGCTTGGCATAGATAATCCAGCGGCAACAAATATCATTGGGGAATGCAAGAATAATTTTTGGCACTAGGATTCTACCGTATGCTTCAATATTTTCACCCAGAGCACTTAAAGCTTGAATTCTTCTGTTACATTCTATGTAAAGATCATTTAGATGCGTAGGAGATGGGTCTTGAATAACATTTAAATGTTCTAAGTAATCTAAGTGTGATTGGATAATTCGATCTTTATTTCCGTATCTTTCCTCCAACAATTTTTTTGTTGTTTCATAGGTGTCTCCTATTACACTAATTCCATCAACAAGGCTTTTAGCTTCACCATCTAAATAACCTCTGAGGAAAACATGTTTATCAATAACAGAAAGATGTGGATTGGCATCTATAGAAGATTTAAACTGTTCCCAAAAACATTGCCAGTGTTCAATTTCTCCTGTAAATGATTGTAGTTTAATTGTTGGCAATTTAACTGTATATAGTTGAGTCATAGGCACTGTAGTAGGAGGGTCGCCAAATGTCATCGATAAATCATTGGTAGCCATATTCGAAGCAGTAACATTATTTGCAGTTGGCGATAATTTATTTTGAATAATTTTTCGTGCTTTGAAAATCGCGGATTCACCAGTATCTATGTAGTTTTCACACTGCAAATTATCACTTTCATATTCATCGTCAGAAAGGAAGTTGTGAATTTCGTTATCTATTAGTTTCATATCATTTAAAGTAGTTGTTAAGCGATTACAAATATATTTAACTTTCTCAATTGAGAAATCGTCGTTCAAAGTATCAATTTCAGTAGAAAAGCAAGAAACATTACTTCGCACGGCTTTCCGCTTTCGTTTCACTTGCGTCATTTTGTCTACAGCTTCACCGGTCGGCGCCATTGCCCGAGTAGTAGAAAAGAACAAAAACTAAACTAAGTTTTAATGTCGGAAGCAAAATAATTCAGCAAGAATAATCCAACAGTAGGAAGTATAAGTTCAAGGTCCTGTTTCGTAAATGGTTTTTTCGGCACCAGATATTAGGAGATAGTATTTTATACTTATTTATTTCCTAACATAAACATAAAGTATAGAACAAGCAAAAGACATTTATAAATACAAAAACGTAAGTGATGCCATTCACAAAAAGGGTAATGTTATTTCTAATAATTCGCTGGCTTTGCCGCAACAAAAGTATATTCACCTCAAGTGATAAACATAACGTCACAAAAATATAAACTACGAACATTAATTGTAATATACAAAATATTGCATTAGGAGTTGGACCTGACTCTGGTTCATTTTGAGAAAATTATGAACCTTAATTAAAATTTTTAGGTGATTTGCTGCTCCTTTTAATATCCTCCATGTTACTAATCAGATAATTTAGTAGCTAGCTATAGACCAGTGGTCGCCAAACTTATGAAGCTTCTGAGCAATTGTACCATTTTTAAATCCTACTGTGAGCTAGCAACCAAAAGAAATGCCAATTTTTAAAAGAAATCTTACATGTGTTTGTTGCCTATAAGCTTACATTTTTAGTAAATATAAAATCAATTTTGGTTAAACTGTATGTATAACAAAAAGAAACTGAAGTGCAGTTACTAAGAAATAAACGTCTGATGTCTACACCACACGACTTCCTTGTACGTAATTTTAAATGATACGCAGCTTTTCCTGCATTTCGTTTAAACAAAAAAAGAAACAAATCTGAAAGTTTTCAGATTTTATATTACACCTTCTTAACGTTTTGTGTGTTACCTTTATTTATTAAATATCGTAGTTATTAAATATCATGTTCTTCGCACTTAAACCAAAAACTTCAGTTCAACAGCAATATCGCAAAAATATAATATTATATCACATTAAAGAATAAACGCGAGTCTCACATGAAGACCATATCGTGCAAGTTTTTCTTATTTATATTCACAACACATAAACATATTAGACTGAAATATAATCCAAATATAATTAATAAGGTAATCCGAGAAAAAGAATAAACTGACCCCGTCACCAAAAAATATCCGTTACACTCCGGATTCTAATCCGAATATCAGACGACTGCAAACGCGCGATTGCCAGATATCACATAATCATTTTATTTTCCAATATTTCAGAAGCGAATCGAAGCAAAATGCCAAAACGAAATTAATAGCCCTTCTGGGCAACTTGACCCCTTGGGCTAACGCAGAAACAAGCAATGCGGCCAGCGGGCAAGAAGGCAAATTTTTTGGTGCACAAGACCAAAAGTTTACTTTTCGTCCTACTCGGCAAAAAAACACTGAAGAAGCATCAATATTCTGTGAAGTTTCAAATGTAAACAAATATAGCTGCTATGCAATTATTTTTAAAGCAAAAAACGCACAATTTACCAACATATAAGAATGAAAAAAACTAAGCTCACACAATCCAATAACAGAGTGGGTATACATATATATATATAAACTTAACAAACGTTCTCTATTCGTAAAAAGCAAATTTATTGTTAATTAAAATTTAAAATTTAAATTATGAAATTTTAATAGCAAACAAATAAATGAACAAGTATTTTACATTACTTAAGAGTTTACAGAATAAGTTTTCAAAATAGATCTAATAGGTAGTAGCTTAACACTCAACTTTAGCTTATATTAACGACCTCTATTTATAAAGTTAGCAGAAGCACACTACTCAACATCACTTAGTTTGGCAAATACTGCTCCACTCTCCAAATACAAATATAGTTTGGTAAGTTAAATTAAAACTTACTATTTACTTGCCTTTTTAGTATTATTTATGTATTTTTATAGACTGTATATGGTTTATATTTGATTTGCGTGCATAATTCGTGTCGGGGAAGTTTCCAAATAGGCAAAGGTTTCTAAATTACTTTGGTTTTCTAGAAAGCTTTGATTTTCTACTCTTTTTACATTGGTAATTTTAATTATTTTGATTCTTTGCCGTTTATTTCCAAATTACTCAAAATTCCTTTTCTTAAATTTTAGTAATTCACTACTTTTGATTTACTTTTGGTTTTAAATTACTATACCCAAGCCTATATGGATGACGAAACATGAATTGAGTAATTGAAGAGTTAGGTTTGGAGGCAACTTTTCCTTGATAAGATCTATCTCCTGCCTGCTCAACAATTATTCACTATGCAAATTAATTTAGATTTGGAAATTTTTTATAATTTTTTAGTTCTAAAAATTTTTTTGGAATATTATATATTTATTCATGGATTTTGATACATGCACTTAATTTACACATGCTCTCAGAATATAAATGGATTGGATTGGATTATTTAATTATGGCAAAGCACACGAAGGCTATCTGCCTAAAGGGAGGGATGCTTTCGTGGAGGACTTTCTAAGGGGAACTGGCTCGTATACACGTTACACATGGGGAAAACCACGAAAACGCCCATGCAGCCAGTGTTCAGCGTCTTTACGGCTCGGCCGCTGGTGGGGCAGAATTTAAATGATAGTATAGATTAGTTCGCAGCAATAATTAATCATTTATTTGCTTGCTATTAAAATATTATAATTTAAAATTTAAATTTTAATTAACTTTAAATTTGCTTTTTACGAATAGAGAATGTTTGTTAAATTCAAATTTCATTCATTGCAGGAATGGCGCAAGAGAATTATTTAAATTAAATTTAACTTTGCTATTTAGTCTTATAAAACAATTTTATATATACATATATTTAACATACTTTTGGTGAGGCGGATTGCAACCAAAAAGGGAGGTGTATAGTACCTCTATATACAAAATTTCAACATACTCATTTTTGAGATACAATCTAAAGTATACGACTGACGACCTGAAAATAGCGGTCATCTATTTAATTGTAAAAAAATGGAAATTTAAAATGTAATTGTCCAGGAAAAATTATATTTTTCATATTTTTGAGGGTTATCAGGTTCAATGTTCCGTCTTACTTTCTTTGGGAACATGCAAGGACCTGACTCGGAACAGAGAGCTTACTAAAGCTATGTTCAATAACTGTGGGAAGTAGACAGGATACACAAGAAGGGTATACAAAACCCTTTATTTTTCTCTCTTTACAATAATTTCCGTACTTCGGAATACAAAGACCCACTACTTGTGGTCTAAACGTAAGAATATAAAAATATTTAACTAAACTCTAACTTAACTTTGGAATAATAAAAACGTGGAAGATTGGCCTTATATTAACAGGAAGCCGTATGTAGTACAGAGAACTGTTAACACTACAATACGTTTAAAATTATCACGAGGATTAAACCTCTGGCCTGGAAGGCAACCAGCAACTGAGTAAAACTTCTAAGGTAAGCGGCCTGCTTCGACTAACTCCTTCCTCTCTCTCGCTTGGCAAAAAGCCACAACTTAAGTACTTGGCGTTCGCCAGACAAATTTTGCATAAATAAGTTAACGCTTTTAATTCTGGCCGGAAGTAGAAAATAAGAAGTGATAGTAAAGATTTAAAATAAAATAAACGTTAGTAAAACTTAAGATCCTTACATACTTCCCGCCAGAGTTAATTAGTTTGAAACTGAGGTCTAAAACGACCTTGTTGAAAACTTTTAGCTCTAGAATCTAACGCGAGGCCAATCTTTTACAAACATTTCTCACTAGAAACTAGAAATTAAAAAAAAAAAAAAAAAATTTGTTTTTACAATAGCAGCTCCAAGGACACGCAATTTTTCATCTGTACTGCATCTAAACAGGAGCTTTTATTCAAATCTGGTTCCTTCCAGAGATCTGGAAGGAAAACTAGTTTAATGAAATGTTACACAATGAAATGGCAAGTAACATGCATATTTATATTTCTCTTAACATTCTTATTTCATTCATGACTATTTTAATTATCTCTCCCCGTGCTCTCTGACATGTGTTGTAAAAGAACACCAAACACGAATGTGTTTATGTATACGTGTTCAACACTTCCTCCTACAATCAAAACACTAACGTGTTAAAAATTCAACATACCAAGACCTCGTAACACACCCTAACTTCAACTCTAAACCCTGAGGTACTATTCTGAAAGTGGCTAACTCTGAAGTGTAGCGTCAGAGAGCCTAACAACATTCATTCAACCTTTAACACATATTCACCATGATTTGGTCTTTTTACAGTAACACGAATAAAAAAATTTTTTAACATTACTTTCACTTTTACCATATCACAGTATTTCTTAACATTTAAAATAACAGTCCACATTGTATATAAGAACATATTAACATGCCGTTAATTTTACGCATTTGAAAACATACATTAGTAGTACATTGTTAACTTCTATTCTTTTCAAAGCAAGTGCCAATTCTTCTACATTGAAATACTACATTTCAAAAAGTCTTTCAGACTAAAACTTCTTTCTTGCCAGAATGTTTTAAATAAAATTTATACAATAACTTTTACAATATTTAAGTCTTTACACATTCCTATTATACATCAACTTTAGTTTTACGCGCGAGTAATTGAAAAACATAATACCAAAATCGGTAACAACTCAATTCTCGCATTTCTCTGCAAGTAACCTTGTTTTGATAGGCAGTCCTCCTGGTAGCTTGTTTGCGTGAAGCTTTCTTTGTTCGGTCACCCTTGAATACCTTCTTTTTCGCGTTCCTTTGCTTGGACCTCGTTGCTGGCCGTTCAAATTTTCCTTGTAACTTTTCCTCCGCCGCTGGTGGCCCTTCCGCAGTTCGGCGACATTTGCTGCGGAGAGTCCTGTCGGATGAGTAGATCTTCCGTTTTAGAGCCGGGTTATAGTTGCCGTCATTTCTCCTGGCTCTCTTTGCATACGTCGTCCTTCTCCCTTCTTCATTCTGGGGGTGTTCGTGAGCTCTCTTTTCTGGACGGGTGGAACGGCTTCTTTTTCTTGTTACCTTCAATTTTCCCGCGGGGAAACTTTCTTTTCACTTGCTCCTGCCTCTTAATGG